CGTAAAGGAACTACGAAATGATATCGTCTCACAACTTTTGTCTTCTTAATGCCTTATTTGGAGTTATAATTATTGAATAGACTAGTTATTAGCTAACGTCATCTCACGAGAGAAGACACTTTGACCAACTGATTCATCAACTAAAAGTTAACGGTATACTATTAGGGTTTACAAAAATAAATGTGTCCAAATACTAGTTCACTCATCTCTCTATATATTATACATATATGGAATGACCTAGTAGGATGTGTCATACAGTCTTCTAATTCATCTGATTGATTCATTTTTTTGAGTGACCTTTACGTCTATGCATTCAGAATGAGAATGTCCTGAACCTAGGTTAAGCCTATCCCAGAAGTGAACTAAACTAAGACAGATTTAAATAATAATAATAATAATAATAATAATAATAGACACTGTTTACTAACTAAATGCCTTATGTGTAATATAATCTTTTTATAAGTCCCAGTGTGTGTGTGTGTGTGTGTGTGTGTGAATGTGTACGTCTATCTGCACACATACGCTCATAATTTCAGTCTTTATCAATGGTAAAAGTACAGTTCTATGTAAGTGTTTTGGTTTTAGCTAACAATGTACCATCACAAATCATACAATATTGACAAGATTGGAACTATAAAAAAAAAGAAGTCGACTTGTATGTAGGAGAAAAAAACTAACTAGACTAAATGTGTGCTAATCACATGTGACTCACATATTGGAACATACCTTTTTTTTTTCTTATTGGTATATATATTTAGCTTTTTCTAATGATGTCCATAAACTAGTACATACTGAGTATTTGCAATTTTAAGGCTAATAATATCTGACTGATTTATCAACTCATGGCACAGTATCATGAGTACAATTCTCTTAAAGATATCAGTGATTACACTTGTATGAGTAATGGATAAGCATCATTGGAAAAACCATCATGAAACCACGTTCAGCAATTGTGTAGTATTGTTGAGGGAAGTTTATTCCAAGTGGTTGTTGAACTGTTCTCACACAAATAGCTTATCATCCAAAAGTCACTTATTAACTTCATAAAATGATACAACCGTTTCGCTTCAATAATTTATCTACAGACTTCAGGAAATGTTGTTAATTATGATTGACTTTACTTTTTATTATTATTATTATTACTTTGCTGGGTTCCAAGTGGGACATAAGACTTCTAAAGAACACCTATATTTCACCCCGTTCCCAGCAGGAATCTTTAGCTGGATCTACGATTCCCCATAAGCTCTTAATCCACCCTCACACGACCTCCATATCGTCCTCGAACGCCCAACTCGACCTTTCCCATTCAGCTTTCAATCTATGGCCTGAAAGGTGATGTCACTCAACGGTCTTCTCAGATTGAGTTCAATACATTCTCATTTCCTTATGCATATTTGTTGCAGGATGGAACTTGGCAACACTAATTATATTCAAATCACTTCGTTTGTCTTAATTTGATGATAGTGTTTTCAAGCTCATGGCTTTGACAAATTCCTTCCGTCTTTAAACCTGAAAAGTGGAGTTACATTCTTCGTGTTTATACTAATCAGCTGCACATTTGTTTCCAGAGAACAACACTTTCTTCTGTAAAGCATATCATAGTAACAAGCCAAAAGGTTTATGTTAATACAGCTTTTGAACATACAAGCTAAACTTGCGCTTATTGAAGCCATAACTATTAAGAAGCTTAACACGACCATCTGTATGAGAACTTATTGTCATTAATAAAGCATCAATTTTTATAATATCGAGAGTTATATATATATATATATATATATATATATATATATATATAACTACATTTTCTTCTCTGATCTCTTCCAACCCCATTTTACTGTATGTTAGTTTCTGTCTTTGTCAGCATGTAGATAACGTTTTTTTATTGTTCTGTTAGGACTCAGGAAGGATATTTAGTTCCTATAGAGCTAGCTGTGCATCCCTGAAAGTGTACATACACCGAAACAGCTTACTAGTTGGCTACCTTCATCATGAAATAATTCCAGATAATATTGAAAACAAATAAGAATAGGGAATATTTCTCTATCAAGGGCACAGTATACTGTTACGATAATGCCCAAAGTTACACATAAAGGGTTTTGTGTAATCTAGCAGAAAAAGAAAAATTAGTGACTAATATTATAAAATGAACAGAAGTGAAATCCCTCTGATTGTGTCACATTCGTAACCTCGATAGTACATATTTTACTGATCACTGTATTATTGTTCCCTTGGTTTCCGAGTGGGAAACACAGTTTCAATCCTATATCGTCATTTCAACCATGTTCTCTGATTTCCTTCCCGGCTGGCTGTGCTATCGCCCACAAGCTGACATCTCCTCTTCACACCATCTCGTCTGTGTCGCTGTCGGACGGCCCACTCGTCATTTCCCATTAGGGTTCCACTCGGTGACCTGGTGAACAATGCTACCCAACGGTCTCCTTAGTGTGTGTCCGACACATCTCCATTTTCTTCGGAATATTTGTTGGGTAATAGGTTCTTGATTGGGTCGTTCCCAGAGTTTCTTTTTGGTAATTCTACAAATTTTACTCAACTAAGTCATGAACAGACAAAGCTTAAAGTAATGGTTGATGTGGCGTCCAACGAATAACAAGCATGACTGATGATTTATTGTACTAAATCACCACTTACAACTCACTTTTAATAATAACCCGATGAAATCAACAAAACTGATGTGTTAGTAAGTTAGATGACTTAATATTGTAACAACAGAAGACAAGGGCCAGGCAACAGATCGTTTATTTCGGAAAATCAACACGTATTTATAGATTTTGATGTACATTATTATAGGTTAATGTCAGTAGAAAATACAGTCTGTTGATTGGTTGTTTCTCACGCAAAGTTAACCTTGCATATCTTGTGGCTGTGTCAGTTCAACTATGTGTTAACTGTATCCGCCTGTCCACCTTGACCTTTGACCTCAATTACTGCCAACCAATTTGGCTAGTGACCATCTTTCACCACAATATAACTGACTAAAATGTTTCAACATAGGTCAGTATAGCAACAGAGGTAATTACAGGTAGAGACTAAGTGGAGGTGGGGTTGGGAATAATGCCATTTAAATTAGGACTAAAGTTGAGCAAATAAATTGGATGACTTAACATAAATGACTAGAAGTTGAGGATTGGTCAAGTCAGTAACAGTGGTAATGAAGTGTAGAAATTAAATCGGCTAGGGGTAGAGAACAGGGAAGTTGAAAATGTAAAATATTACAATTGGGAAGACAAAATAATACTAATGAAGAGACAGAAAGAAGTAGAATTTACCTGTCGGGTACGTCCATTGCAAGTGTGGTGATCGAACGAACTTCTTCTACATGCAGAGTTCAGGGCTTAGCAAGTGAATTTCCATTGCTTCTGCAGTTTGGAAACTTTTGACTCGTACACTTTGAGGAAGACTGCTTCGCATGCTGTAGACGACTCTGAAGTTTTTTTAGGGTGTAGCTTGGTGTCCGGAATCTATCAGTTGTTCTAAGATAGAGCTGCGGGGGAATCGTCTTTCTCCTTTGTGGTAAGTGTCCGGTGATACGTTTGGATAGCGAACTCTGCATACAGAAGAAGTTCGTTCGATCACCACACTTGCAATGGACGTACCCGACAGGTAAATTCTACTTCTTTCTGTCTCTTCATTAGTATTATTTTGTCTTCCCAATTGTAATATTTTACATTTTCAACTTCCCTGTTCTCTACCCCTAGCCGATTTAATTTCTACACTTCATTACCACTGTTACTGACTTGACCAATCCTCAACTTCTAGTCATTTATGTTAAGTCATCCAATTTATTTGCTCAACTTTAGTCCTAATTTAAATGGCATTATTCCCAACCCCACCTCCACTTAGTCTCTACCTGTAATTACCTCTGTTGCTATACTGACCTATGTTGAAACATTTTAGTCAGTTATATTACGTCATCTAACTTGCCGACTCAATCTTACTTTAGTTGCTGCCTAATTAACCTTGTTTCTATATTAGATCAATCTTGTATTACCTGATTAATTATCTAAACTTAACGAACCTCATGTGCACACATTCAAAAATTAAAACTGATGTGTCAAATTTTGCCACTTTCTGTATATCGTAATGTTACGCTCATCGTTGTACTGACTGTTAATCAAATGGAAAAGCACCTGTCAGGTATTTAAATAGAGCTACTTAATACTGAAGGTTAACATAAATCATTTCCGTCTTCAGTACTACATATATTGATCCAGAATCAGTAGTCCTTGAAGGTATAGTTAATTAGCTACTACGCTAATCATCTGTGTGAAAATGTAACATGAACTAAACAGTCTTACTATTCTCAGACTGTTCATTGATTCCAAACGATATCACACTATCATTGGTACTTTTTTTTCTTTCACCTCAAATCAACATTCATCAGTCATTTATATACACAAATTGTAGGTTTACGAATAGTACGGAACAGTTACTTCATTTGTTTCCAAAACTTTCCAATGCTCTATGATCCATGGTTTTTCCTCTAAATTAATACACTTATTCAGTTTTATGAAGATCCGTAGTTAGTTTTTGCAAATATTTCAACTGAATTAGACCTTATCAGTCTAGAAAGTAACTGTTATCTTTTGAAATACTTCATTTCGAAATACTTTTTGTAACGACATTTTATATTAGCTAACAAACGTTAGCTCAGTATAAGGATTTCAAAGTTCTACTCCACACAAGGTTATACTCCATAAATGGCTTTCTCTGATAGGTCAGTTTCAATAGTGTGTGTATTTACTACTACTGAACAATTAGATATCCAATCACATCGCAGGTAGGTGAAAAGAACAAATAATAAGTTGATAAGATCCTTTTCTGCAATCATAAAAAAAGACATAGATTACACCAAGACATAAGCGACATATTTATATACAAGGACAAATATAAATGGTTGAGACAAAAATATGCGACCAGTTTTTTTTCTTGGATTTAAGGAAGAAAAAAAGCGCCCAGATATATAAGTAGTCGTGGGACGAATGATCAAAATTATGGCTATAATAGACTTGTATTTACATCGTCCTGAAATGAAGACAACACCACAACTATCTTGTCATAATTGTGAAAATCCCTTACATCATAGTGAATTACTTTCCAATCCCAGATGGAAAAAGTCAAGTCCAATCAGAGTGTTATCAGAATACATTGCTAGTGGTAACAGAGAGAGGATAAAAAATCTTAACAAGTGTAACAACCTTGATAACTGTTATCATCATTACCACCGGTATCAGTACCATCACTTTCATAACCATTATCATCAAAATGACAATATTAATGGTATTAATATGAAGCATACAGAAAGGATGCATTCAAATCATCGATCGGTATTAGTGAATTCAAATCAATCCTCCTTTCAACCTGTGGATTTACTTTCAATTTATCCTGAAAATAAAAACTTTGAATTAATGAAAATTAAGCGTATTTACGGGTTAATCGATTACATGCTGATTTGTAATCACGTTTGTTGTAAACATTTTGAGTCTGTACAAAAATTCATGAATCAAGTGCAAACTATTGTTAAGCATACTGAGAAAGAGATTGACAATAAACTGAAGAATTTAATGAATCTTAGTATGTATAAGTTTTCAGAGAAAATCGTTGCGAAAGGATTGAAACACTTAAGAAATATATGTAAGTGTCCAGAGTGTAATAAAACTTCTCAAGTGGGATCGGAAATCAAGGAGTTCAATGGTGAAACATCCTATCAATATAATAATCGTAATCATGTTTCGGTCAAATTCAAGAAATCTGAACCACAAAATTCTAAATCGACAAAAAACAAAATAAAACATCCTTTGGACTACAGAACAACTAGTTTCTGGACTAGTTGTCTGTCTAACACTGAAGTAAGTGATCAAGAGTTGGGCAGTGTCGACAGATCAACTTCACGTCCGGTGTGTTCACCCTCTAATAGCATACTCCTACCATCACCATCTTCGTTAACATCCTATGCATATACTTCATCGTCATCTGTCTCTTCATCTTCTTGCTCTTCTTCATCATTATCGCTATCACCGATTTCGTCACCAGTTACATATTCAACCTGTGTATCACTATCTAGTAGTTCACTGAAAGAGAATGAAGAAAATGAAATTCTTATACCAGATTCAATTTGTAACTGGCAAAAAACTCATGAACCTGTCAAATTTATGAAATTGGGCAAATTACTTAAGGAGTGTAAGCAGACAAGTACCGAAAACGCCGAGGAGGTATGCGAGTCACGTGATGGCTTGGTGGTGAAAAGCGTAAGTTTGTAATTGTTGCTCTTGCTATTTCTTTATCATAACTATTTTTATGTGTTTACAAGTGATAATAGATGATTTTGTTGAAGGAGAAAATAATTAGGCCATGTAATCATGAGTTTATAAATATGCTGACAGTGTGTGATGTTGTACTACTCGTCTCTACATAAGTGAAGCTATTCATGTATGACTATCACGAAAAACTTTTTGTCATACGCACCTTAACGTTTAAGCTCTTCTTTCAGGACTTATTTCACGAACAAGATTCAAAAATAAGATTAAGTATGGTTTCTAGTAAAAAAAGTATTCCTTTTCAAAATTAAGACCAGATTTTTTTATCACAGCTTGAGGGTAGAAAGTTCTAGTCGGTAATTACTGGACGCAGTTAGTTTAAACACATAGCTTCAAACATACTGTTATGCAATTAAGAAATGAAATATTTTAAAGTTTTAGGTGATATGAAGCAGTATTAGGGTTTGGAGTCTACAGTCTACTCATCTCCCAATAATCATTAAATATCAACGAAGTAATCATTATAAAATGAGATGACGTTGATTATTTGTCTTTATTCTAGTTGTTTTCTCTGAATCGGACGATTTAATTACAAAACTTTCATTAACCATCCCAACAATATCTTCACCTGATCCACAGATTGTCTCCACCATTGCGACAGTATGACTGTTCAATTGCCTACTGTAAAGTGGGAATATTTCGTCAATAATTCTAATTTTCAGGTATTGGTTTTGTAGGGATTTCGTTTGATTGCATGTAGGATTTCATCATGAGCTGACATCAATTAGGGAACCACTGGAAAACCTGGGAGTGCTGGACAGCTGTTTCGTCCTAGTTTGGGACTCTTCAGCAGTACGCACCCACTGGGATTCGAACCCAGGGCCTTCTGGTTACAAGGTGAGCTCGTAAACCATTGAGCCACTGGGATCCGATCCAATGGTCCTTGAGTTCTAACTTCTGCCAATTCACGACATAGCGCGACCATTTCGCAATGTCTTCTCAATGGTCTACGAGCTCGCCTTGTAACCAGAAGGTCCTGGGTTCGAATCCCAGTGGGTGCGTACTGTGAAGAGTCCCAAACTAGGGCGAAACAGCTGTCCAGTACTCCCAGGTTTTTCAATGGTTCTCTAACTGATGTCAGCTCATAATGAAATCCTACATGCAACAATTCTAATTGTTTACAAACTTAGTCGTTGGTGCTACTTAAGACTGAACGGTGTGAAATAAGACTTACAATTGTATTTTTGGCCATCACTAATCTGATATGTAACTCTAGTCGTTGCGTATTCATCGTTAATTCATAGTTCAGTCAGTAGTTTCACTTCACAACGATTGAACAACATCAAACACACACACACACAGTTTCATATTCATTGTTCTTTCAATTTGTGATCATTTATCAGTGTAAGTGCAAAGAGACAAAGTTTGCTAAAGTGAAGAATTTTTCTTAAGAAAATTAAGTAAAACAGCATTTATTTGACAGGAAATTAAAGTGTGTACTGAAGATATTGCCAAGAAAAGCAATGAAAGCTTCACAACTAAACCATCCAAATTCCAAGAACACAACTGCACTAAAATTATCCACTTGGGCTACAAACCTCCATCATAGGAAATCGTAAGTAAGGAAACTGTAAAATATTAGTTCCTAACTTTTTCTTCAAAGTGATACAGTTATTTAAGGGTTTACATATATACATTGTTGACTGACAATAAAGGTCAGAGGTTATTGTTATTCTTAAGTGCATCACATTGGAATTTTTCATATCTTACAACTAATAAAGACATCATTATTGCGCAAAACACCGAGGAAAATCTTTTGAGTATTCCTTTTTCTTCTTCAGTCTCCATGTTCTGTCAACACAAGATATTGTGAAAAAGTTTTTCACTTTGCATCTTGTTTCTACCTGTGTTGTACTGATTGAGTAGTAATTTCTTCTCTACGTAACATCAGTTAAACTTAATTTTTCATCAACCATCTGTTTAATCTGTGTAATGCATTCCTGTATTAGAATGAATTCAAGGTGTCTAAATCATTATGAAACATCAAATAAAAAAAATATTTTCTTAAAATAAGCACTAGGGTCTACAGTTATCACATTCAGGCGTCTGTATTTACTCAGTATTGTCATAATGTGAAAAACAATCGCGAACAAATCCAAAATACTCAACCACATGGCGGTGTTAGAGGAGCAGAAATACAGTGGTATTGTACGACTATACCCATTTATCGTGAAAGATATTTTTGCAATAGTAATCACGATTTCAAATGATCATTATTTATCCTTTTCCAAGTTCGTAGGACAGTAAGCCATTGATTTCGTTTGTCTGCATCATTTTTTCCTTTCAAGTCTCCGGAACTATAAAAGAGACCACAGGAAATATCAACTCTTTCATTGCTGTTATAATTTACATTTCACTGTTATTTTTTCGGTATATTCACATTCCTTTGTGACACTACTGCAAAACAAATTCATCAGTCTAGACAGAAATTTGATAAAAAAAAAACAGTATGACTGTCATCAAAGTAAGCACATCAGTGTTTACAATGTATACGACGTTAGTCAGCATATATATGTATATATATATATATGTGTATGTAATTAAGTCATTCGTAAAAAATGATAAATGGCAGTATAATCTTCTTTATATGTTTGTCTGCTTATTTATCTATCGATTTCGACATTTTCAGCATGTGATTGAGAATGATTGAAAAACCACTCGATATATGAATATTTTCTACAATGATTTCAATTGTTGAATCAAAGTGATTAAGAAATTAACCTATGTGATAATTTTGAATGAATTTGAAGGTAAAACACACGAAATTGGCTGCTTTAGACACGGCTATACTGGTGATGCCTTTTAATGCGATGACTTTGGGGTATGCTTTTTCTGAAACTGAGTTTGTGATGTTAAGCTTCTGAGCTATTACATATTGTCATTCACTGAACTAATAGATTTTTTCATCAATTTCTGGTTTTTTTTTCGAATGGGATTAAACCCACTACATCAGAAAATTTCAAGTTAAACAACACTCCTTTCGGTTCGCATATGGATATTTTCTCAAAAACAAGGTTACTTCATTCATCCTTCCTTGCTCCATTCACGTCCCTAATATCACTGTGCATTGTGATAAATGGATACTTATAAATAAGTCTTAATAGATAACGTATATGGTCCAATTTGATGAACTCATTCTTCTTCCCTATAATGAGTTAACATTTTTAATACTGGACCTGTATTCTCCTTCATGAATTGAATACACTTTTGAAAAAGTTATTTAAATATTACAATATTTAGAAATGTTGACATAAAACTGATAAGGATATTCACTTTCAGACAAGTACAGTGATGTAATTACACATCTATTTGTTTATATTAACGCAGGTAGACAAAAGTATATTTCTTTTTATTAACAGAAGAATGTTTCATAAAACACGTCATAATATCACATGTCTGTTGAAACTCCTCATTTGTATTTAAACAAACTAGCCTAATTAAAATTCAGATTCATGTTATTATATCCACTGACAAATATTAAGGAGAATCTATGTACTCTCAACCTACTGACAGTCATTTATTTTTTTTCAGTGTTAGTTTCTTCGGGACTGACAGATAAAATTGGTGTAGCTTAAATTAATACTTTCTGTCTTTCTTTCCCCCACCCCCACCCCTTTGTATGCAAATTTGTGTCTGTGATTCGCATAAAGTCTGCCCACCCTTTGAGACTTAATCCATCCTCAAGTTTTTTGTCACTTACATTGATGATGATCTATTCCTGAAATAGTAAATGCCTCTAAGATAGAAAAATACATGTAGAATATCTGACTATTGTCTGGCTACGCTGACTACTGAACATTTCGCTTCGTTATCTTACTAGCAAAGAAACATGACTGCCAACACTTCACTATCTTATTTTCCCAAAAATTAAGAGATTATCAGTGTTTTCAATTGATTTAAAAATCTCCCTGACATCCTCACTCAGTATCTTTGACTTACATGCGTTCACTTAATGCTCAGGTGTCCAGGATATATCTCAATTTATTGTATTTCTCAATTTCTTTATGATAGTTAATAGTTCCAGTGCTGAAGAGCTCCAAACTATCACTTGTTTCTAAGCAGTTTTTTTGTTCGAAATCAGTTTCTGACAAAACTTTACTACAAAACAGCCTGTAATTAGAAGATTTGTAAGGTTGGATTCAAGGTTAAATGGGATAGATGAAACAATATGATGGATTGATTTTCCAGTTGGTTCTTAAGTTTTGTCTTACAACTACATATCGTATTGTTTCTAACGCGTACATTGTGACAAGAGCGACTGTGACCCAAAACTTGTGTTTTTTTTATGTATACTACATACAGTCACTTCTCAGCTTTACAGTGAAGTGTTCAACGCTTCCAACAGCTTCACTCTTCATCCTTGATCTTGGAGTCACTACAAAGTAGTCCCATATCAAAGTTGTACTATTTTCCAATTATTATACCGATCCGTGCTCGTAACTTCTCAGTAATATTTGACTGATTGAAGTAGCTTGCCTATTCTGGTTAATACAATCCTCGATCATGCATATTTGGTTTAAGTACGTGTGAAATGATGACTAAATACACAGCTACTATCTTCAGGTTCTTAATGTTCTTTCACCATAGACTTAAAATCACCTCCTATTTCTGTTATATTAATAGACAATTGTATAAATTTAGTTTCTACCTAAGTTTTTATAAACTTTCGAATGGTTGTTATAGAATAGAGATAATACTCTGAGGCTTTTGATACCCTGTTTTAACTTTTTTACCAAACTAGTGATCTAATAAATTGTTTGTGTTATGAAAAGCAAACCAAACAACTAACCATTGTCGTATAAAGCAGTTTCAATTCATGATGACCGATAAGAAGACCTTTGTTTTAGTTGTTTCTTTTTATTAAGACCGTCTATGTAGTTACCGCGATCTGTTCTTCTTTAGAAGTTTCAATAAATATATATTTCACTTTCTAAGTAGGTGCC